TGCTTTGGAATGTCCAAGGGGACAAACATACACACAAATTTATCAAACATTTCTGTTTCTAGGCTCTCAGCTAACTGGGACTCGGCCCCAAAAAACTTTTTCCAAAATCGTTTCACTCGCCCCAAGCCTTGTTTCGCCCGCCGCCCCGGGTGAAAACCCCCCTCGCCGCCGCCAACTTGCCAACGCACCTGCGCCCGAAGCCGTTCCTGGTGAAGACGCTCCGCCTCCGCAGCACGGCGCTGCCAGGCCTCCAGCGCCGTGAGGAGAGTCCAACAAAAAGAAAAAAAACAATGGCGATGGCCTCTAACCTGGAAGCAATGGCATCCAACCTAGAAGCAATGGCCTCCAACCTAGAAGCAGTGGCCTCCAACCTAGAAGCAGTGGCCTCCAACCTAGAAGCACTGGCCCCCAACCTAGAAGCAATGGCCTCCAACCTACAGACACTGGCCTCCAACCTAGAAGCAATGAGCCCCAACCTAGAAGCAATGGCCTCTAACCTAGAAGCAATGGCCTCGACTCTAACCTAAAAGCAATGGCCTCCAACCTAGAAGCACTGGCCTCCAACCTAGAAGCACTGGCCCCAACCTAGAAGCAATGGCCTCCAACCTAGACTAGAAGCACTGGCCTCCAAGCTAGAAGCAATGGCCTCCAAGCTAGAAGCAATGGCCCCCAACCTAGAAGCAATGGCCTCCAACCTAGAAGCACTGGCCCCCAACCTAGACTAGAAGCAATGGCCTCCAACCTAGAAGCAATGGCCTCTAACCTAGAAGCAATGGCCTCCAACCTAGAAGCCCTGGCCTCCAACCTAGAAGAAGCAATGGCCTCCAGCTGAAAGAGTGAATGAGGCGGTGCGGCAGTGCGACAGTTGGAAAAGCTTCGATGGCTGGGAACGGGAGGCACCGGTGGCTGCCACGACGTGTTCGCAGGGGAGTGGATGTGTTGGGTCCATGAAAATTGCAAAGCCGCAAGCATCTTAAGCAGCTTAATAAAGAATAAAGAAGGAAAGAACACAATGTATCCAACCTCTGCAAAAAACACATGAAATAAACACATTAAACACAATGAACCAAACAACATGAACATGTAAAACAAATACATCAATAACAATCGAAAAAAAACTGAACCCATAAAAACTCTAACAGAACAATATATCGATATATATCAGAAATCAAAAACACATTTAAGAGCAAGTTGTACAACAATTGTTGAAACACAGGGAGTAGAAAATTCAACAATCCAGCTCTATTGAGTGAGTCTACGTCGATCGGCCTAGGCCTAGACCTCAAGGGAATCCCCTTGCCTCCAAATCCCTTTGATGTCGCTCTGCTTCTTCCTTCCGTCTTCTTCGCTCTGCAAAAGCCTCACGATTGTTCCAATCGTCGGCCGCCGGGGTTTCAGGAAAGACCACCATGCCATGCTGACTATGCCCTTGGGGTGCAACCATATACATTTTTTGTTGAGGAGGGATTTGGATGCAAAGCCCTTACCTGGACATGCAATACCTTCTTGGGAGACAGTTGGAGTGCATGCTGTAACTGTGGGGCCGGCGCAAGAGCAACAAAGCATGACATGATTATATATCCAGAAAGTCGCGAAGCAATGCAGCAACATGGTCCTTCTGTGCAAAAGCAAGTTCGTGGCCGCTGGTGAAAAAGGTTCACTAAACAACCGGTGCGACCGGCCAAGGCCCCCAAAATGTCCAGTCACAAGACTTTCAACAACTCTTCATGTGTGGAAGATTCATATGGAATCTTTGCCTACATTGACCCCTCAAGCCGCACCAATCAGGACGATGACATGACCCAAATATCTCTATAATTACTGGTAACAAGGGCATCGCTACTAGTAGCTAGAAGCTGCCAGTACTATACCCTCTTCTCCATCCGAACAGCTGGAACAGCTGGAACCTCGCTCTGTGCTCCCGCGCTTCGCGCTGCTCCTCAGCACCGGTGCGCGACATCACCGGGATGCCCTGGATCTCCATGGGCAGAAAGCGGATCTCCCCCCGAGGGGTTCTGCGCGCGCAGCCATCCTCGGGAAGCAGAAACCCTGGGTTTTCAGTCTGGGTGAGAGGGGAGGCGCCAAAAAACCAGCCAGAGGAAAAGGAGCCGTCAATGAGAAATTGATTATTTATGCGGGGTTTGTATTGCGTGAGCTCGTAGAGGAGTTTCTGAAATCACCACATCGTCCCAAATACCAGCCATCACCACCTCAATCTTGATATTGTTCAAAATCATGAACCGGATGGGTGACCTGCCTTGACTAAGGTGCCAACTTCCGCTTTCGACCAAGACTTTGATCCACAAACACGCAGGTGCATGATCTTGCTCATCGCCCAGCATCGCTGGTGGTCCCAAAAAACGAACCTGCAATATGCGGGTGCAATTGCTGGTGACCCACCCCCCCTAGAGCCCGAGCAGTCGATGTAGCGACCGACTTTCCAAATAGGTCAATGAAGATCAATCAACCAGGACCATCCAAGGGGTGTCCTGGCTGGACTACCCCACACTACCTATAGGCTTTCAGACAGGGCACCCCTTGGATGGTCCAGGAAGGTGAGTATTCGGGTGCCATTGATCCACAACCATTTCACCTCCCTCAGGCGCTTTTTGTTGTCGAAAACAACGCCCGGTGTCTCACCTCACCAGTTGCCATGCGGTCCCAGTGTCCGTCGCCCTCGTCGATGCCTAAGACGACACTGCCAAAGGCTGCCAGTTCACCAAGGTCATCACGATCCTCCAGATGTTTGCCTCAGAGACACAAATGTTTACGTGATCGAACTCCTGGCGTTTGGAGCCTACTCTCCTTCGCGCCCGTGGGAGGAAGACGAGTAGATGATTAGTAGAAGGGCATGCTGCGATCCAGCCCAGTGGTGGAGAAGAGATCTGAACGGTTTAGTCTGTCAGGTTCCAAAGGAAATGCCCCGAAAGTGAGATCTTAAAAAATCGTAAAAACGTGGGACGCAGTGATCTTGGATGACCTGAAACAAAGGTCACTGATTGAAATGATTGACCCTCACTGGAAACACGGGATATCACTGGAATTCAGTGGAACAACACTGCACCCAGCCCCTCCGGAAACCAGCCACTTCACCGAAAACCGCCGCAGCAGGACATCGTCCAGCCACGTCCTCGTCCTCCGGCTGACAGGGACAAAAGGATCCAATCCAATGTTGATCTCTAAGCAAAATGCCACAATCACCAGATCAACAAGTCAACAACTTTAGGCCCAAAGTTGCGAGGGGACAAGAGTCAAGCCTCAACGAGGCAGGAACCCAAATCGCAAAGTAGCATCCGTTCAGGCCCATCAAGCAACGTGTGTATGCTACAAAATGTTAAAAGTTGGATTAGACATCAGGAATTCCTCTTTCCCATTCAGCCAAGCGATCTTTCAATTGAAGATCAAAACAGCCTCTTCCCATGCTCCAGCCCACCCGATCGACCGCAGAATCGAGGCGCTGAAGCGGAAGGTGATGCCAGGCGCATGCGCTTGCAAGGCGCTGTTGTCCTTGGCGAAGCGCTGGGTCACGTCTGCAAAGGGATGGGCAAAAGGGAAAATTGTCGGCCCGCAAGCGAACACCTATGTAATAATGCAAAAGTGATTCTACTAGCGATGGGCTCCAACCTGATAGCCTTGGCCTCCAACCTGATGGCGATGGACTCCAACTTAACAGCAATGGCCTCCAACCTAATAGCAATGGCCTCCAACCTAGTAGCATACATTATGTGAAAAAGAAAACAAGTACTGGTGCAGTTCTCTTGGATCATGTTCTTTGTCCGTTGTTTCGAGAGATTTTGCAGGGTGTCAAGTGCATACAGCCTTGTGCTGTTCTCAAACAAAGCATAACCAAACCATCTATTGCTCTAACTGTAGCATTTTGTAGCTGCAGCCCATCTGAGCCCTCACCCAAGGATGTTTGCCCTGGAACGTTTTTCCACATGTGTCCAATGCCCAAATGCCTCTATTCACACCCTCCACAGCGAGTCTCCACCAAATATTCAGCTGGCCCTCTTTGTGCGATGGCCATCTTCTCTCCGCTCTCCATGATCAACGCCTAACGAGAGGGCATGAGGAGAATGCATTACAGTACACCAAAAAAACAATCCAGGATTTGAAGACCAGGATGCGGACACCAACTGAGGTTGATGGCAACCATTGACGGCTAAGCTAAGAACTGCTTGGATGGTTGGAACGGCATTTTCCAGTTGAAAGGGAAAGCAATCATCAAACAAATGCCGGCATCATATGGCGCCCAGATGCGCCAAGCCGCGGTCCAACGACACAGTTTGCACTCGCTTTTTTCACCGAGCCTCACATGTTACATGTGTTGATGATAGGTCGTTCGTAGGTCTTCAAGAGCAGCAAATGTAGGATGATGGGTGCTTGATGGTATACTTGGTAGGTCGTCAATAGGGAGTCACCATACGTCTCATGGGAGTGGAATGGACACAAAACATATTGATGATGTGAAGAACAACCTCGAGGATTCCAAAACCCCGACATACCCACAAACCCTGTGTCAGTTCGGCAACTGATCCAAACGGTCTTGCGAGTTCGGCAACTTGAGGCGGAATCGCTTATGCGGAATCGGAGTGATGTTGTCAACACCACACCTCAGGTGAACGAACAAGGCTAACACGGCTTCTTCAATTCCACCCTCCTCCGTTTCATTCCACTAATCCAGTCAAACACGGTTTTCATGAGCGAAGAAAGACCTTCCTCCACGCGTCGCAACACGTCGCCGCGTGGGCGCCTCCCTCGCCATCGAGGTCACCTCGGCCACGGCCTGCTGTGCTAGCGCGTCTGGCCGCGGCAGTGGGTGGAACTTCCGCCAGGCAGGGCCTTAGTTGGTTGGAAGATGTTGGAAGGAATTGTTAGATAGAAGAATGGGCCCGGGCGTCTTGCAGAGAGAGTTTGAACTCCTGGCCTCTTCCTTACAATTGAAGCAAAATGACGGCCTCTTCAGAACTTATCCCACCGACCCTTCCGAGCCGTCCAGCTTTTCTTCAAACTGAGGCAATGGTGACCAGCCCTTAAGGACTTGCCCAATGCGAACTGTGCGAAAGCAACTGCGAAAGCAATGAAGGTTGCGCAGGCACCCAAGGGGGTGGGCGTGTTGCCGGCCCGCTGGTTGTGCCCTTGCAACCTTTGCATTTTTCGGCGGTTCGTGACCTGTGTGTCACATTTTCGGCGGTTTGTGACCTGTGTGTCACAGTGCTGAGATCGGTAAAACAACCATCATTTGTCATTTTGTGAGCCATGCGTATGAGAACATAGAGAACATAATCCTTGCTCACATCAGCTGGCACCAGTCATCTTCACTGGCCTCTACGATATAGATGGGTCCTTCATCCCGTTTGCGATCCTCATGGGTCCTGGCGCACGAGCACGAGCAAGCCGAACATGTGGCCCGGTCTTCTGATAAGCATCTGATCCAAAGGCATCTGTGTCAAAAGACAGTAATAATATACACATGACATAGTTATTCATACGACAGTCTTCAAATCTACAAGTTCCATGAATCGATATATGTGACGTCATTGTGTTGCAATCGAAAAATCCGTAACAACTCCCTTAACCTTGTCATCTTGTTTTTTGTCAGAAAGACTTTGTTATAATGTATTAGTTGAACAATCAGGTCTTTTGAGATGAACTGACAATCAGGTCGTTTGAGATGAACTGATGAGCTCATAAGAACAACTATGAAACTAGAAAACATAGGACGCCCACAGTCCCCCCCGCTCTCTTCAGAAACCCTCTCAGTAGGTAGATCCCAACTTGTATTATAAAGTGGATTGAGAGTAGGCGCAAGCCTCAAACGATTGTTCAAATGGACCCCCATCTAAAAGTCATCTTGGGGGCCCCGTGCCATCTACTGTACATCATTGTTGACATTACACAACTGCCGGTGAGCGTCGACAGTTGGAAAGATGGGACATTAATCGCCAAGATTCTGTCCAGTCATGCCATAGGAGCTCAGGGAGTTGGAGAAGTTCGAATCAGGAGTGCATTGCGTCGACCTAACAGACTGGGAACTTCTGTAAATCAACTCTGCGAATCGGAGCGAAACATTGGAGGAAAAAAACATCAACAAATCCTGCGCCGTGCTTTTGACTTCATCAAAAAGACAACACACACTTTGTGGTATGTTGTCATTGCTAGTGTCGATTTGTGTGGGCCACTGACCAGTCCGCAATCCTTCAGTCCGCAAAAAAGGAACAAAAACGAACCATGAACAAACAACAAAACAGCTGATCGTGGCTTGCCAAACGACAACAGCGACTCAATGCCAGCAACTCAATGTTTGCCAGCTGCTCTAACAGGCAAAGCCAGTTGCCTGAAACAAACCAAGGATGTGCTGCCCAGACGCTGTAACGATTGAACTGGAGGAGTAGACTTAGGAGACTTCAAGTTAGCCTGGTGCCAAGCGTGTCTAAAGAGATGGACGTCTCAAAGTACTTCAAAGGGTGGTAAGGAATCTCCATCTAGCACTTATGCTCCCAGGGCAGGATACATAACACAGGATACATAAGCATTAGCTTCCTCCAGGCCACCAAATAGATTGGGGTTAGACATAGCTATCCATGAAAATCCCGAAAGCATGAGGAAAATAGGTATGGTTGTAAGATTTGATCATTGGACCAAATGGGGGGGGATCGGCATGTTGCAGCTACTCAACCAATCTGGATGTGTCTCAAACTAGTGGAAATACTAAATGCACCGCGCCTAGTGGGGACACACGCATCAACCCACATGAATGGTGTTTCCTCTTGCTGACGCCCAACGAAGTGCTCAAATGGTCTTGAGGGGTGAGTAGTCTCCCAAAATCATCCAGAACCCATCCAGAAGTTGCAGATTGACATCAAAGGGATGCTATATATTAGGTTGGAGGCCATTGCTATTAGGTTGGAGGCCATCACATCAGGTTGAACGCCATCACCATTACTTCAATAGAAGTGTTTGTTCAGACATCTTGGGACCCACCGACCCACAAGCCGCATGTGAAGAGATTGCCATCAACAACGTCATCTTTGGGAAAGAGATTGCCATCAACCAGAATTCAGTTGCATGTCCAAGCCAACGTGGATGCGAACGGACCCGTGAAGCGAGCTTGGGAAGCCCATGCTGAAGAAGCACTCCACAATAACATGTGAATCTGAGAGCGCCTCTTCCTGCACGGGCCAACCACGGGCCTCAAATGTCCTCACCTGAGTTTGTGCTGTGAGCAAACCAATGCAATCCATATGATTGAACATATTTGTTTTTTTAAACTGTTTTTTCTGCAGGTGAGTCACTGTCTTAGCCAACTTCGGCTTTTGAGGGCGCGCGTGAGGCGCTGCCACAAGGTTCGTCAGCATCTCCTTCATCTCCTTGAGCTCACCTGCAGTGGATCGAAAATAGGCCGTCCACCAGGACCTTCTCCCAGTGGCGACTCGGTCAAGAACGGCTCAGGTCGCAATTCCGTTCTACAAAAGCTCTAACTCGACCTTCAGGTCGCAAACTCCACCTTCTGATCAAACTCCACCTTCAGGTCGCAAACTCCAGCTTTCTGGAATTTCGACTTCAGGTCACAAACTCGAACTTCACCTTCTGAGTTTGCGCACCGAACAACCAGGCTAAGACCGAACAACCTAACAACCGTCGATCCTTCAACGCGGGGGCTGCGTCATCGTGGGGGGGCTGCACGGTACACGGACCCCAACTTCCTAAGGCGATGGCAGCCACATCAGTCGGGCTTCTACAAAGAACAACTGCAGCCTGTTGACAGAAATGCTTGATGATGGGGAGGGAAATCGACCTCTATGCCGTAGTACACACCCAACACCTATTCCACCACGCACCAAATACGGCTGGGATTTGCATGGACATGGGCACCCACAAAAAGTTGGGCCGAGACCGGTTCATGAACAATCATACTCCTTTGATTAGTAGAGACCACAGCATTTCTCCTGCATAGTACATGTCATCTCTTCCATACCAATCAACTGGAAACTCAATGTGAACCCATGACTTCGGTCATATATCCACCTGCTCACCTTTTCAAATCAAGTGTGCAAGCAGGCCTACCACTTTTCTTGGCCAAGGCACTCTGCATCTGATTGATGTGTTTCTTCATCGCCTGTCCCAAGGAGAGCAGGTCCGCTTGGGCCCTGCAGGTTCTCAAAATCCTGCGGTTCTCCAATCCAAACACCCTGGTGTTTAGATTGTTTAGGTGCCTCAACTATTGTTTCTGCTTTTGCGGGGGCTCCTGGCAGTGATACCTTGAGCCGAAATGGATGTTTTCTTGAATGAACCTAACCTGTTCTGCGGGGCTCGTTCTTCGATCACCTGAACACCCCAACGAGGCGTGTAATTTCAGGCACCAAATGGACGCACAGAAGACCCCACCATTGCCACCATTGGCCGAAGTTCCTATCAATTGAGCTCCCCTCGGGTTCCAATGCAACATAACCCTCACATAAATGGACTTTGTGAAGCGAGAGTTCTGTAATTATTCTGCGATGGAAATACAGGCCAAAGGAGAACTCGATTCAACTCGATTCATTCCCCCCAAAAAAACAGAAACCTGCGTAGGACATCGGTCCAAAGCATCAGCTGGGGAGGGGGCTCCCTTTCCTCGCCTGCTGGTTGTTCCACACCAGTGCGATCTCCAGCGGCAGCTCTCCTCGCCTTAGCAAGTCTAATTGGAACATGAACATGCTATGTTCAAAGCGATGGCCTCCATCGTACGTAGCTTCGGTCGTTACGAGTAAGGATGCTCCGTTCGTAGTACGGCCAGGAGCTCCGGAACTCGGTTTGTAGCTTCGGTCGTTCCTGGTCGTTTGCTGCCCTTGTACCAATGCCCTTGTTCAATGAGGGTCCGAGGTGTGGGATGAGAGCACATGGGTGTGTAGACATGTGTTTGGAGGGGGCTTCCAGGATTCCAACCAATGGGTAGACTGTAGACTGGTCTATTTCATTCTATTTCTCTTCTTCCAGGGGGTATTTGGGAGGTCTCCCTATATCTCCCTATTTACTATTCTGATGTTCCCTGGTCTTTGAGCTTCTGATGTTCCCCTGCGTCTTGTTAGAACTCCTGACATGGATGTAGGATTTACCTCATGATAACCTTGGAAGGCAATAGGTCGCTTCAATCCAAGCTGCATGACCCTCGAGGCCAGCTGGAACTCCTCCGGGAGAAGCTGTCCATCCTGAGACTGACTATATGATCGATATATATATATATGATACCTATACTCCGACTCACTCACATGGAAGTGGACAATGGCCTTTGGAAAGACTACTTTACAAACAAGTGGTGTTCCACTTCTATGTCAGTGAGTGGGAGTGTCAGAGGGATTTTGCTGATCTATTATTTTAGTCGTCTTTTTTAGTTGTTTCTAGTTGTTTTCAGATTTTCAATGATTTCCAACATGTTATCTGGTATTTCGGGGGACTGTGAAGGCACGATGGACATTTGGGTAACTCAAAGGTGTCAGATGGTGTCAGTGTCCCTCAGAAGTACATGATCAAAACAGTGTGGATCACTTCATCTTCAAAGGCGAGAAAAGACAGTTGTCACTCTGTCCACCCCATGGACAAAATCGAGAAACATCGTGCATCCCAGCGGCATGATCGGTGTCGAAAAGGTCAAAGATTCGATCTGCCTCTGTCAATGGAAGTGGGCCTTGCTGCACCGCCATGTTGAATCCGCCACTCAGCATCCTGCACCAAGATCCAGGAAGAAAACAACAAGGGGGAACTATTTTGAAAGAAAAAACCTGCTCAATTCGCGGAAACAAATTTTAGGATCATCAATGTTGGACTGTTTTGTTCGGTCATGCTATGTTGGAACAAACCTTTGTCTGGTGTTGTTTCAAAGCACACCATGTCACATCACAAACCCGTTTCCTGTATCTGCGCCATGGTAGCTAACCGCTAACCTCATTTATGTTTTTTTTTACCGCCACGATGTTCCTTTGCATCTTGACCTGATGAACTCCCAAGTAGATTTGTTGCCATCTTTTCAGGTTTGTGGAAAAATCCAACCGCAACGCCATCTTTTCAGATTTGTGGAAAAACCCAACAAACTGGTCTCATCCATGAAACCTTTGTCCTTTCAAACAGCAACCTCGAAACAGACCTGAGCTAAAAAACTATCTATATATACTGGCTCAACCCTCAACTCCCCCAGCAAGAGACCTCAAACAGTGTTCAGAAGAGTGCATTTCAATTGTGCAGGCTCGCAGAATCTGGTGGGCTGTTGCGGGTGCTCTTCGAGGCGCTCTCGTTGTGGGACCTTGAAGTGCAGGTTTCGTGGCAGGCACAATATTTATAAAGTTCTTTGTGGACCTCGATGTGCAAATTGCATGGGAGGCGCAGGAAGTGCTCTCATATGGGTGCTTTCATGCGTGCTCTATCAACGCGCTCCCATACATGTATGTTGTATGTGCTCATTTGTGTGTGCTCTCATGCGCGTGCTTTTACATGTCCTTTCATATGTGTGTTCCTTGCACCTCCAGCTCTAGATCTCCAGACATCTCTCTCTCTCCCTGGACCTAGACCTTCAATTCAAAACCTGCCTTGTAAACCATCACCACGATCACCACCCCCCACCATCACCATCACCACCGCCATCACCACCATCCTCCACCACCAGCTCCACAAACATCAACATCATCATCATCATCACCACCACCATCATCACCACCACCATCATCACCATCACCACCACCGCCACCATCACCACTATGTATGACCACCACCATCACCACCATGACCACCACCACCACCATCATCATCATCATCACCATCACCACCACCATCATGACCACCATCTCCACAATCATCCACCATCACCACCACCACCATCACCACCAGCATCACCACTATCACCGCCACCGCCACCACCAACACCGACACCATCACCGACATCATCACCATCGTCACCACCACCATCACCATCATCATTGCCACCATGATCGCCACCATCACCTCGCTCTGGAGCCCAATACGTCCAGATCTCTAGACCTTCTGCTGCTACACCTCTAGACCTTAGCTCTTTAGATGCACTATTATACACTGTTGGGGGTCTTTTGCCTGGATTAGGGAGCCCACCCTGTGCCAACCTGTTGCTCTCTAAAGAATCAGGATCAATCCTAGACAAACAGCTACAGTAAGAATGAGTTTAAAGCACAGTGAAGAAGCTGACCATCCGTGTTCGCTTCGAACTCTAAAGCTCAGCCTAGCCTCTGAAGGATTCGTTGATCCAAGGACCAAACCAAACTGGCCAGGCAGTCACAAAGACTTACCAAGGACGTCTTTTGCCTACTCTTTCACACTCGTTCATTTACTGCAATTGCTCAGTCGAGCGCACATCATATAGGTTTATCACAGCTGTGGAGTAGTACATGCCTCCGTTTGCCAGCTTTGTTTTCATTTCTTTGCTGTCTGAATCTCAAAGGACAAGCTATGGTTTTGCTTGCATTCAAATATAAACACAAATTCTGCCCAAGAACATGGACATGAATGAATTCCTGCAAGCGTACTTGGACGCGTGAACAGTCGATCTGTTTGTTGTTCCATAAGTGTGTGATTCATGGGAAATATGAGGCAGGTGGGTTGAAGGGGTGTTTTTTTTTGCCGCACTTCCAAGCGCCAGGAACCTGCCCAACTCCGTCCCGTCCCCTTCCTTGAAGCAGCTGATGCTCGATAGCGGGGGTCAAGCGGCTGATGCTCGATAGCAATGGCTGCGGCAATGGCTATAACCAGTGCGCCAAGTTGGAACCCAGTTGCAAACCTTGTGGAGGCTCCAGTGGAGGCCCGGTGTTCGGCCTTGTTCTCCTAAATATGTTTGAACCATAGTAAAACACCACAGTGACTGTCGAGATCCCAGTGGCGGGTCGGGAAAACGACTCGTCCCAGGCTGAGATCAGAGGTCACAAGGCCGAAGACTCCAGTTCCAGGTCACGAACGGGCTCAGGTCCTGAAGCATGTATTTTACATTGATTTAACAAGGTCATAAAACATGTCATGGAAAACGCTGTTTACCGAAAAGCACCGTGGTGCTTTAACACCGTGCAGAAAGTAAGTCATTGATTTGGCAAACCTGGCCAACCAAACCCTCAACAGCACCACCCCGGCCTGTCAACCAATGAGTCCACGTTTCTTTGTTCTTCCCCAATCGTCTTGCTCATGTGCTTCAAGGTCACACCGGAGATTTTGGAGCTTCACCAGAATGGACAAATACCAGCCTGGCCGTTCCCACTTTTCCGCCCAGGTGCCCGCCATGTCCGGCTCCTCTTCGTTCACTTCAGCCAGTCCTGGAGAATTCCCGGTCGACCTCCCGAACCTTCCACGGCCCGCCCATCGTCGGTGGACCGAAACCTGGTCAAACCTGGTTCGCCCGATGCAGTTGAAAGGAGGGAACGAACTTCGGAGTGGAACCCCTGGCCATCAGAGACGTTCAACTGAGCCATGGCCAGTGGCTGAGCAATGGAACATGGCCAGTCACTGTGCTTTGTCTGTCCACATGGATCTTTGTTGAGTCCATCGCTATTAGGTTGGAGGCCACTGCTATTAGGTTAAAAATACCTATATATCGATCACAATAGTATTTAAAATATTTGTGTATGAATGTCTCGGAATCACCATATCTTTGAGACCAAAAAATGTAACTGCAACTGAGAAAGTACAACCTGGTTACAAAGCTTGAGGCAAACATCACCAATACCAGGCCGTCTAGTCTCTTCTGGGACTTGCTTCTATTCAGAGCACATTTAATCTGCACCATGTCATTCATTTCCCAGAACAGGCAATCCAAGTTTAGAGCCCTGCGAGCCAGCAGCCGGGTTCAAAAAGGCCAGCTTCAATACCCTCCAACAAACATGGAAGTGGGTATATCATATGATAAAACAGACTGTCTCTTGAGAAAAAAATCGTCTCCAAGCTTAAGGGTCCACTGTCCACTTCCAATATTTTTGGATTAAGGCATGGAAACATATTCTCGTTGGTGAGGGGGCAGTACAATGCCTGAGATTTCATCCATATACGGGTCAGCCCATTCCTCCCACCTTTTGAACCCAAAGCGACAGCATGACGGGGAGACTTAAAGGAGCCGCTCACATTCAAAACTCCTGTTGTCGAACATGGTCATCCAACCGTGTTTGAAGCGCCATCACATGGAAATTCAAAGGGTCGGTAGGTGTCAAATCAGTGACGTGGTCTTGCTATCTTTTGGTCTAAATGAGTATATATTGCAAAGCGCGGAATGAGCACAAACGAACCTTTTCACGGGCTCGCTAGGGCTCAAGGCCTAGGTGAGGGATTCGAGCCGAAACCACCACACACATGAGCGCGTGATGTTCCGACCGGCCATTCGATCACCTGTCAGGTCGTGAAAGGTCATGCACATAGGTCATCAACTTTACATTCCTCAACATTCTGTGACCTTTCACGCTCTGACATCTGGACATCGTGATGTGAGCTGCTTGCTCCTGATCTTGATATCAGGGCTTCAGCATTGATCTCATCGGCAAGTGCTTGCATCTGTTGACTGATGCTTGAAATGTGCACTTCATCTTTGTACACACACGCTGCTTCCCACATCACCGTCAGCAGGAAGTATTTTCGCTCTTTTGTTGTCATCTTCTCCCAAGCTCCTTGGTCCATGCCGATGTTCTTCTTTGTTGCTTCATCACGAAGTTCCTCATAGTCATCATCCTGACTGCCATCTTCTTCATGTGGTGCCAGCCGACCATCTGCTCCTGGCTCCACAAATAGCTCTGGAATTGCCGGATCTTCCAGCACGCTCATGATTTCTGACTCTGTTGGAGTCCCTGGGGCTTCTCTTCTGTCCTGCCTCTTCAATAGGATTGCCCTTTTCTCATCAGAACTCATGGAGGGTGTTCTGTGCCTTTTCTTTTGCTTCAATCGCTTCTCCAAATCCAGAGCTCGTACTTCTTGTCGTTCTTGTTTGTACTCAATCCTGATCAACCTGTCGATGACTTTTGTGATCCTGTAATTGCTTTCTTCTGCAATATCATCCATCTTCTGGTAAGTAAATCGGTTGCTGTCACCAATGAAAGCCGACACTTTCTTGAAATCCTCATTGATGGCATGCTTCATGCGGTCCATCCCTGTCAGCATGATGTTGTTTTCATTGAACATTTGTGCCATACCTGCATGAATCAGCTCCTGGGTTTTCTTACGTTCTTGTCCCAAGAGTGTAAAGATCGTTGATGTCTTTTCATCAAGTCTTTTCACCAGCAACACTATCATGATCACCATTCCACCCCACATCAACATCAAACATTCTGAATTCTGTGAAACTGTTGTCTTCAACCCGAGCACGACCACTAGCATTGTTGTCACTGAAACAAGTGCACCTTGTTTGTACAATGCAAGGTCCTCATACCACAAAAACCACTCCGCGTAGTAAGTTGTGTTGTACCAAAAGAGACCTGTCAGCACAATGATCACGCACGCAAACATCAACTCCCATGGAAACTGGGGCAGAATCGTCTTCACGTCCTGCTCGGCATTTGTAGGGAGGAACTGCTGTGCAAATGAAATCATCAGTACGGACTTCGCACTTACTCCGGGACTTGTGGATATATGGGTTGTCCTGTTGGGGCTTGTTGAACTTTCATTCTCCTCAAGTTCAATCGGCTTTTGGTTGATCATCTCGGCTTCTTCATGGCTGTTCACCTTTTCTGGCTTTGGCTTCTCTTCTGGGTTTTCCAGCTTTCGGCTCCTCGATGTCTCTGGCAATCTTGGATCTGGGCCAAGTGTCCACTTGTTTGAGTAGAGTACATCATTCAAATAAGCCAAGCCTTTTCGATGAAGAGCCTTTGTCAATGCATCTGCCAGTTGTTGCTCTGATGGCACCCACTTGCACTCAACACCTTCCTGCAAGCTCTGTCGGATGATTGCTGCCTCTAAGGACAGTCTGCGATCAGAAAGCAACACACGCTCTGGCTTCATGCAATCATATAGAGATCTGCAATCTGTCACTGTGACACCTGGCACGCGATGCAAATGCTCCTTGTAGTGACGCATGTCCAAATCTCCATGCAACACTTCCAAAATGGTCGCTCTCAACCAACTGAGGGCATCAAGAGCTTCTGAGCAGGAATAAGCTTCGGCACTCAAGGTCGACCGCACCAACCTTTGTATCTTGGATGATGTCCAATGAACAAAATGGCATGTGGTGTACCTTTGTTCGATCCTTGATCAACTCTGGGGTTGAAATGCCCAGCCAATATCCCTTTTGACTCTTATGACCTGGAAGATTGTTGAAGGATGCATCGTGGACTGCTACCACTGCAATGTCTTCCGGTTGCCAAGCCATGCCTGGTCTAAAAATGAGCTCCTCTTCTTGGTGGTATTGTTTGACTTCTGTCACCAGCTTCGATGCTTCCTTGAGACTTGACATCCTTAAATCTTTGATCTCGCTGGCAAGCTTGCTGACCTGGAAACCAATGGAATACCCCATGATCCGGGCGTACCACTGCAACTGACCAAGTAGTCCTCGAAATGCCTTGGTTTCACTTGGGGTCAACTGTGCGTTGTTGTCTTTGCCACGCTCTCGGCTGATCTTGTAGGCGCTCATATTCTCCACATACTCCTGAGCATGAGCATGAATTGTCCCATCCTCATCCTGGTGATAGGATCTGCCGCAGAACTTCAAAGTTCCATCAGTCCTCCATTGCCCCCATTCAACTTCTTTCTGCATCTGCTCTTGCATCTTCTTGCATTCTTCGGGATATTTCTTCTCATCCCATGCTATGAGGACATCGTCAACATGCAAGGCCAAAATGGCCATCACTTCTTTTGAAGCTGGGTCACGAAGCACGAAACCGGCAAGCTCGAATGTCAAGCTTTCCCAGCCCAAACGAAGGAGGATCCCTTTGATGGAATGATACCACTGCCTTGCGGCATCGTTCACGCCGTAGATGGACTTCTTGAGCTTGAGCAAAGCACCTGGCTGCACTCCTGGAATCTGGGCCTTTCCAAGATTCTTTGGAGGCTCAAAGTACAGTTCACGGTCAATCTTTAGACCTTGCAAAAAGGCTCCTCTGACATCAGCTGCTGTCAACTTCATCAGCCTTGATGATGCCAGACTGCAAATGACCTGAACCAACAATGTAGAGCACGTTGGCGAATCACGGCGGAGGTTCTCGTCGTACTCTTCCTGAAATCCTCTGCCAACGACCCTGCACATCAACACAAGCTCTTCCTTTTCATTTTCATCTCTCTTTTCATCATCCTTCTTTGTCCACACGCCTCTGGAGGAAATCACTTTCTCCGGGCTTTCTTTCCGGATTTGTTTGCTTTCATCCGGAGGCACGATGTCAATGGCATCAAAACGTTGCCATGTGCCAATCTCCTTCTCCACAGCCTTCTGCATAGCTTCTTCAATCTCTTGGTCTGTGAACTGTGGAAGCTGTGACTTCATCTTCTGAGGGTTGAGCTCCGTGCGCTTGTTCCTTTTGGTGTAGGTGTCCATCCTCTCTGCGAGAAATGCCACACACATTGTTTCTATCTCCTCTACGGACATCTCAACTCCACCAGATGAGTCCATCTCCTTGTCTTCAAGCCTTCGTCTCATCACCCCACGAATGGATTCTGGTACATCATCAAGTAGAAGATCACGTTTCCTTTTGTGTTCTTCATCCAAAATGGAACTTGATGGCATACTCGAAGGTTCATCTTGACTTCCTTGAGGAACAGATTGTTCCTCAACATTCT